AAGTGTTGGGTGGACCACGCAAATCATAGCAGAAATTAACTGTGTGCCCCTCTAAGCCACAATGTGTACATTTTCTCTGAGCATTACCCCTTCCTTTTCCACGGCCTCCCCCTGACTCACGGCCTCCAGTCCAGCCACTGGCCCGGTTAAACATGTGTCCAACAAAGTTCCTAAATGATTAAATAGAAGTTATAGAATTGCTACTATCATAAGAAAACAAAGTTCCTAAATGATTAAATCAACTCCAAAAATTCTAAACTCAAATTAACTATGACTAGACAAATCAAACTACTAGGCCAGCTCTATACACAATATGTAAAGTGATCAAAATACTCCCATGGTCCTACCATCAAATTACAAAAAAAAAAAAAAAATAGAAAATCCCAATTTGGCTCTTTGGCTCCTACATCACATACACACTGTAGGAATTTCAAGCCTGGGCAGGGTTTCAGTTTCATATAAAATTCAGGAAGAGTATAGAATATAAAATAATTTTCATCTTATTGTGCATTTGAATCACTGTAGCATCATTCAAAGATCCTCATATCACTTGCATATGGCTGCACAAATGTTTTGCTATTCTACTCTATCTAGGGCAATATCTCCTACCAAAGAACAGAACCGAATAGTTAGTTAAATAGCAGACAAACTTTGTTCTGTAGGTACAACAAGTTCTATGTCCTGTCTAGATGTGATATATAGGTGGCTATATTTGGGTAACAGCCAAAATTAATTTCTTATGATTCTGGAGAACATTTTCACCCTGTATCCTTCCACTGTGTGACAGGAAAGCCAACTGTTCATTGTGACTAATTAAGAATCTCCCTCATGAGATGGATATTATGGGTACCTGTATATTGCTTTTATGTCTCCAATAATCAAATGGGAATATATATATATGCTATGTTATGAAATCATATATAAAGCAAATCATTAGCCATGTTACTATACTTTGTTCAATATGTCATTCATATTTTCCTAAAATCTGCATGAGTTCCTTATTGTTCTCACTACACAATAGATGCCCTTGTTTCATCGTTTTGAGATTTAATATGTACAGTTTGGCAAGGACAGAGCTACTGCAACCTATGGTGTGCTGCCTGCTGCAAATATTCCTCCACCCTATGCACTCGCATCAATATCAGCATTGAAGTTTGACCATTGTGGACATAGATTTGCTACTGCTGCATTAGATGGTACTGTATGCACATGGCAACTTGAGGTTGGGGGAAGAAGCAATGTCTGCCCAACAGAATCAGCTCTCTGCTTTAACAGTCATGCATCGTATGTATCTACTTAGTAAATGGCCGGAGGGTGATTCAAGTTAAATTTATAATTATCTTGTCCCTTTCTAATAAGTATTAAGTATAACTACATATACCATCATTCTATCCAATCACTTAATAAGCCATTAGGTTCAAAGTCACAGTATCCAGGTGGTAACTACTATCTGTTCAGGATTGYTATCAAATGCTAATCTGGTGATTTTCATCATCCTACTTTTTTTTATTATTATTATTTTTTAGATGTTGTCAATCTAAGGGATGCTCCATTTACTATATAGTCTGAATTGATATAAGTTTAGTGCTACCAAATGCCCCCTTAATCCCAACTATTTAGGGTCAGCTTCCCTATTGTCCATCTGTCAATCATTTTTCAGATTATGCTCTAAAGTAGCTTTTAAGATGAACATTATATTGCTTGCAATTTGCAGGGATGCTTCTTATGTGGCTCCAAGTGGGTCAATAATTGCTGCAGCTGGATATAGTTCTAATGGTGTTAATGTAGTCATATGGGACACGTTGGCTCCATCTTCCACATCGCAGGCTTCTCTAATATGCCATGAAGGTTTTTCCCTCTTTGAAAGATCATAAAATGAATATATGAATATATGAATTGGGTGCACGTTGTTTTTACCTTTACAGATAAAAAAAAAAAAATAGCTGAAATAAACCCAAAGGGAGAGAGGATTGTGTAATACTAAGTTTTACAAAGGAAAAGACAACAAGTTATATACTTTGTCTACATAGGAGTTTCAGACTTGAAAGTCTTTAAATGTAAGACAATTTTGCCAAATTACAGTGTTTTCTCTAGTTAACCACATAAAAGTTACAAAAAATGAAATGAGAAAGCATGGTGTTTTTTGCAGCTTCCATTTTTGAAAAATTGGCACACCTTAAGTATAGGGTAAGAGTACCTTTAGAAGACAAAAGAAACCCTGTATTAATTATCTGTCACAATAAACTAGAGCTATCTTTTTGCCTTATCATTTGGGATGTGCAAGCTTGTAAAAAAGAAATGTGATGTGTCTAACTCAGCACCAAGAGAAAATTAGGATATGCATCAAAAGGTGAGATTATAGAAACTAAACATATTATTTCTCTAGTTAACCATATGATTCAATGGTTACAACTATCAGTCCGTATTACCGTCATTTTTTGGATTTATTCTTTTATTTTAATTTATGTAATTGTGCTTATGTTTTACCTGTTCATGTGAAGGTGGTGCACGTTCTCTTTCCGTGTTTGATAATCACATTGGAAGTGGTTCTATTTCTCCCCTTATTGTCACTGGGGGAAAGGGTGGCGATGTTGGAGTTCATGACTTCCGTTTTATTGCCACTGGAAGGACCAAGAGGCACAGACTTTCTAATACTAATGAGCAAAATATCAAGTGGTCTTCACCACATGATACAGACTCGGGCATTTCCAACAAATCTGGGGAACAAAGCCTGAATGGGATGCTTTGGTACATACCAAAAGCTCACCTAGGTACTTTAACTTCTTTTTATGTGATTATTAGTAATAACTAAACTGCATGAAAATTTTATTTGATTTGGGATTTAATTTGATGTGAGTGAAGGGAGTGTAACAAGGATATCTACCATTCCAAATACAAGTTTATTCTTAACGGGAAGTAAAGATGGAGATGTCAAACTTTGGGATGCTAAAAGAGCCAAGTTGATATTCCATTGGCCAAAATTGCATGGAAGGCACACCTTTCTGCAGCCGAGCTCCCGTGGCTTTGGCGGAATTGGTCAGGTAACCTCTTTGGTTGTCATTTCATCTTTCATTTTTATATTTAATGTGGAATAGAAAATCTATACATGTATGAAAATTGTTGGAAAAAATGGAATCATAATTTTTACTAAAGCAGTTAGTTATGTATCTTTATGACTGCATTAAGTCATATTTCTTGCTCATGATGCAGGCAGCAATTACAGATATCCTCATCCTTTCTCATGGTTTTCTTACGTGCGGTGGAGATGGAATTGTTAAGTTCGTTCAGTTTAAAAGTTTTCAGTAAAGAACCCCACCAAGAAAAGGAAAACTAAAAGGAAAAGTGAGAAAGTTCTTGCAGAGCATTCTGAAAAACATCATGGTGGAGAACCAAGCACAAAGTGCTTTAAACGCTGAAGGATGTGTAGCTACTTAGTGGCATGAAATTTGGTATCACTTTCCAGTGCTGTCTCATTTAACTTTTCTACGTTCAGCTAATTAAGTATTTAATATTTATTTGTTTATTTGGTTTTGGGTCTTCTTTGATGATGATAATTTGGTTTTAGGTCTTAGGGAATTCAGACCCCAAGGTTGCCACATTGAACCACCAAGTCTGTGTCATTACTTCTTTTCCACCACTCACTGGAGCTTCAACTATATCATCTGCTCAACTGGTACAGTAACTGTTCTTGTTATCATGCATCAGGCAGAGTAAACTGCAACAGTAGGGACACATTTTTCATTAAATTGTTGATCATGTGGCAGGACCTTGTCAGCATAATATACTTGGAAGTCGAACTGGTTACAGTTTTTCCCCACTTCTGTTCATTCTTAAAAAAGTTGCAAGATAACCTTGAAAATATGCAACCTTACCATTCTTGTCATAGGACCAAGAAATGAAGTCCTATTCAGCTAATGTGAACTTCATTGGCACCTTCTCCATGTGTATTTCCCATGTAAACAAATCTGCCATACATTAAATATCTAACCAAGACTTATTTGACATCAGAGGGTTTGTCCAATGGCCTGTTGCTTCTGTGATTGGTGTACCTCCTACTAGGACTTCACAGGTTCAAACCCATAGAATCCTAAGTTTGTCATGTGCCATGGTACCAGGGATTGAAGTCCCCTATCAACACTCCTGCAATTTCATTGTGGATATTTTCACCTGAAAGTAAGCCCTTAGTTACAAAGGAAATTCCAACCACTAAACTTATGCTGAGTTAGAATTCTTTGGGAGGTCAAAGTTTGTGTTCCATGTTTAATGGTGTATTCTACCATCATTCTTTGTATTTATTGTAAACACAGCATGACTTTAGCCTTTGAGTATTCGTTGGATGATGCATGTTTCAGTTGCCTTTATAATTGTCGGGATTTCCTGTCCATGCAGGCTCTATAATGTGCTATCATTGTCATCATCATCATTATGATTATGATCATAATTATCTCCGCTGAGAAGTACTTGCTCCATAATATGTAAATTACAGTAGCATGMAATGGTGACGTGGCAGTATAACTGTTGGGGCAGCAAATGTGAAGGAAAGGAGATTTGGCATGGCATTTCTCATTTAAACTTTTTTTTTTCAATTGATTTTGGTTTCTTACTTAATACAATAGTATGAAGCTTTTTTTATCACAGAATATAAAACAATATTGTTTGAACGTGTATATACAGAAATACCTTGTACAATAGATAATCCTGAATGTATTTCAGATTACTTCCCCAAAGATTTTATGACTGTTCCACTGGATGGTCTTTGAATTATGTCAAAAAGGAAATAGCATATTGTTTTATGCCTTACCAATGTGTCATCCTTTTGGGTACAATATGGTGCCTAATACAATTTCTTGAGATTCTTTTTCTATTAAACCTTTTTGTTTATTTGACTATTTCATCTTATGAATTTCTACTTAACTTTAATTGGCTTCAGTCTGACAACTCTGATCAATTCATTCTAATGGATTCCTTCCAGTTATTTGATGATTTTGTTGGGAATCATGCAAAGACGATTTCTATTTGACCAAGCTAATTGTGCAAGTATTTTCCAATTAAGAAGCAACGGCCTCTTGTACAAATTACGTATTAATAATACTATAACTATGTTTACCCTATCCTCTATTCTCGCTTATTACTTCACTTGTTTGGATGACCACGCAGCAAAAATTTCTCTTTTTATTGACCATAAGTCCTGATACGGCCTTGTATCGGCTCCAGCACTCTTCCGAGCGAGTGCTTACTCCTACGTGAAGGTAGAGGAAAGAAGAATGGGGAAGAAACAGAATGAAAGAAGGCAGCTAGGAAGATTAGGCAGAAAGTTTGGATATTATTTTCCTCCCCCTCCATAATACAGCAAGGGACAATATATAGTCTCATGCAAAATAATTAACCAAATCTGTCTTGACAAATAAGAAGCAAATCTCCTTGATTATAGGAATTCATCGTGACACAATTCTCTCCATCTGTTCTCCTTGATTAGAGGTCCATCATCTCCACAAATCTGTCTTGACAGATTTCCTTTATTTGTAGATGTAATTATCATCCATCCAATGTGTTGCTTTTCTTACTCGGGTGAAACGTCTAACTTTGTGCTCATCTTTATTGATATTTTTCGGAATTGTTGGTGTACCATTCTCCTCCCCTTGTAGCACCACCTTGTCCTCAAGGTGTAGATTCGGATATAACTGCTTAATTTCCTCAAGTGCTTCCCAGGTAGCATCATCGGGTGACCCATCACTCCACTGTACAAGTACTTGAGTTTCAACCTTCCCATGTTTGAGAACCTGCCGCATTGCACAGATTGCCACAAGTGGGTGTACTTTGTCAGTCTGTCGACCACAACCATGATAACCGTATAACCATGGGATACGGGTAGAGCCACCACAAAATCCATCATCAAGTCATCCCAAACTTGTGATGGAATAGGGAGCGGTTGAAGCAACCCCGCTGGCACCTGTGTTGAATGTTTAATCTGCTAACAAATCACGCACTCCGCCACAAATGTCTCCACATCCTTGCGCATTTTGGGCCAAAAGAAGTTGGTTGAAAGCCGCACCAAAGTACGTTTCACGCCTACATGGCCCGCCATCAGGGTCGAATGAAACTCTCGTAGTAGTCTRTTCTTAAGCGTGGAGTCGGGGCTAATATAAAACCGCCCTTTGTAAATCAAGAGCCCATCATGTCTGGTATAGTCAGGGGGCAACGAACCAGTGTCAAGTTTTTGATGAAGTTGTATCAAGTCGGGTAGTGTACCGTTCTCAATAAGCAGCTGATCCAAAAATGTCAGGGTCGAGAAACTCGTGATCATCATGGTTGTAGCAGGTTTAGACTCCGGTGGCTCATCTTCATGCATGCGGGACAAAGCGTCAGCCACCTRGTTAGCGCGTCCGGACTTGTATTCAATCTGAAAATTATACCCCAATAGCTTTCGGACATAAATATGTTGCTCTGGAGTTTGCACCACCTGCTGAAGAAGTTCCTTAATATTGCGGTGATCTGTACGGATAATGAAGAAACGACCCAACAGATATTGTCRCCATTTGTGAACCGCCTCAACAATGGCGTAGAGTTCCTTCTAGTAAGTTGAGACGGCRCGCATTCGTATCCCCAACTTCTTGCTAAAGAAGGCAATTGGTTGGTTTTCTTGCATCAACACCGCACCCACCCCCACGTTGGACACATCCGTTTCGATGATAAACGTGAGATCAAAGTTGGGTAGCCTTAGCATGGGAGCATGTGACATTGCCTCTTTTAATGCTTCGAACGCAGTGTCTGTGTCTTCTATCCACTTAAACTAGTCCTTCTTTAGCAATTCGGTCAGCGGTGCCGCGATGTGGGCGTACCCCTTAATAAATCAGCGATAGTAACCCGTAAGCCCCAAAAACCCATGAAGTTGCTTGAGAGTTGTAATTGGTGGCCAATTGAGCATAGTATCAACCTTCCTGGGATCGGCATGCACCCCACGTTCATCCACTATGTGACCCAAGTAATCAATGGAATGTTGACAAAAATGGCATTTGGAGAGCTTTACATAAAATTGATTAATTTCCAAGCATTGAAGAACTTGTTGCAAGTGCTGGACATGCTCCTCCTCATTGGCGTTGTATATCAGAATATCGTCGAAGAATACGACCACGAATTTACGTAAATGGGAAGCTAGCATCCTATTCATGGTGGCCTGAAATGTGGACGGCGCATTCGACAACCCAAACGGCATAACTAGGAACTCATAATGCCCCTCGTGAGTCCTAAATGCAGTTTTATAGATACCTTCTCATGCACACGTATTTGATGATAACTGGCATGGAGGTCCAATTTGGTAAACACCGTGGTGCCGCCCAATTCATCAAACAACTCGTCAATGGTGGGAATAGGGAATTTATCCTTGACGGTTACTGCATTTAGGGCCCTATAATCTACACAAAATCGGTATGTACCATCCTTTTTGCGAACCAAGAGAACTGGAGAGGAAAATGGGCTTTGGCTTGGGCGAATGATCCCTTGATCCAGCATTTCTTTAACTAGCTTTTCCATTTCCGTCTTCTGGAAGGGAGGGTATCTGTTCGGCCGGACATTCACTAGCTTCGTCTCCGGTAAAAGGTGAATTCGGTGTGTTTGAAACCGGTGAGGAGGGAGGTCCGTAGGAGGGTGAAATAAATGCTCGTAGTGCCGTAACACCTGAATAATTGCATCTAGTAATTCATCTAGAAATTGGATGATGGTGGTGTCACTTTTTGGTGGTGCATCATGTTGTAAGTGGTACAATTCGTAGAGGTCCTTCACATCCTCGACCGAGACAAGTGCCTGTAATTGATTGAAGGATATTCGTTTCGGGCTCAAAGCGTCGTCTCCCCATAACACAACTTTTTCCTCGTTCCATTGAAACTCCATTGATGGAATTGCAAAATTTTGAGCAACCACGCATAGGTTTTGCAACCACTAGACACCTAACACCACATCCGGGCCTTGAATGGGAAGGACGAATAATTCCACCATGAATTGGTGACCCTGCATAGATAATATGACCTGTTGGCACTTACAATTACACACCATGAAATCTCCATTGCCAATATAGACTTTGAAAGCCGAAATGGGTGTGGCCTACAAGTGTAGCCTCTCTGCTAGGCCGGGTTGAATCAGATTGTGGGTACTCCCACTATCAATCAATACATGAACTTGTTGAGAATTAATTTCGCCCCATATTCGCAATGAGCGAGGGCTACCCGGTCCTGCCATGAAGTTGAGACTCGAAATATCGCCGGTGACGACGGAATCCTCTAGTTCAGCACTATCATTGTCCTTCGCGGTTACGACGTCGGCGTCATCCTCCTCTGTTACTAACAGCATGAAAGACTTGCTTTTGCATTTATGGTTGAGAGACCATTTTTTGTCGCAATTGTAGCATAATTCCCGTTGCCGTCGTTCTTGCATTTCACTTGGTGTCAACCACTTAATGGGGATATTTGAATTGTTGGCATGAGCTTGATGGCACGTGGTCGGATTAGGGGCCAGGAGAGCTGGGACGGTTGAAGGCGGAAGAACCGATTGCAGGGCTGGTTTATTGCCAAACAGTGTAGGTGGCAGACCTGATATAGGTGTTGTGATTGAAGATGAATGTTGGGCTGAACTTATGTTCCTACTCTGCCACCTTGTTATCGAACCAGAGCTCACGGAATTTCCATCATACTTGGCTTCGAACATGCGAGCTAATGAGAAAGTTTCATTCAGGGATCTTGGCCGCGCAATTAACAACTCTCGTTGTAGCATCGGTTTTAGCCCGGATGTAAAAAAAAGAGATCAACAAGGACTCTGAAATATCGGTGACTCTGTTCATCAGTCGTTCAAACTCTGCTTGGTATTCGCTCATCGACGCTCATTGGTTAAGTTTTGATAAGGCGCCTTGGTAATCCTCAAATTGTGAAGGTCCGAATCGTAACTTGACTTGTTGGAGGAAATCGGCCCATCCGGTCAGTAAGTTGTTATTGGACATCCACTGGAACCATTCGGACGCTATCCCTTCCATATGAAATGCCACGATCCGTAGCCTCTGTTCCTCTGCGGTCCTGACAAAATCGAAATATTGTTGGATGCGAAAGATCCATGTAAATGGGTTGGTACCRTTGAAGCGGGGAACTTCAAGTCTCAACGAACAGGCTACCTCGGAATCACCTGTTGTTGTCGTTCGGTTTTGGAGCACTGGCAATGTGGGGGTAGGTAGCAATCCTGAAGAGTTTCCTCCATTGGTATCAACTCCCTTGCCACGAGCCTGAGTTTGCAGTTCTCCAATTTGGTGTTGCATGGTTTCGAGTGATAATGTTTGAGAATCGTGTTTTGCTTGCAAGGATTGAATTTGAATATTCAAGGTGTCAAATTGTTGTTTCATGGMAGCAAGAAGGTTTTCTTGCATGGTGTTGAAAATTTCGGATTGGTCGGCCATAATTTCGAACGATAACAGGTGAAGATTGGTAGGCAATGAAAGCACCAATTTGATATGGCCTTGTATCGGCTCCGGCACTCTTCCGAGCGAGTGCTTACTCCTACGTGAAGGTAGAGGAAAGAAGAATGGGGAAGAAACAGAATGAGAGAAGGCAGGAAGATTAGGCAGAAAGTTTGGATATTATTTCCCTCCCCCTCCATAATACAACAAGGGACAATATATAGAGTCATGCAAAATAATTAACCAAAACAACTTAACAAATAAGAAGCAAATCTCCTTGATTATAGGAAATCATCGTGACACAATTCTCTCCATCTGTTCTCCTTGATTAGAGGTCCATCATCTCCACAAATCTGTCTTGATAGAT